AATACAGTTGTGCTCTGTAAAATAATCCTCACTATTTTCTGCCCCCAGAATGCTCTACCTGGAGCATGGAGTCTTTCATCATCCTGTTGTTCCAAGTCCCGGATGAATTACACAATGCTGTGCTTGTCTATTAAACCAATTAAGAAAGATTTAAAATCACAATTTCATCTCCTTTAGGAAATCATCCATCTTTTTAATTTAACTTTACTATCCTATTTAATTAATAAGGGTTTAATGACAGTTAATAAATGAAAATTAATTTAGGAAATGACTGTTTTTATCTTTATTAAAATAATTCAAATTCTTAAATGCTTGTAATTTTCATTAGTTCAATCAAGTAAGACACCTCAAATCCAATTAAATCTAAGTTATCTTACTTTACTGTTAGTCCAAGTACCAGGAAAAATTTCTACTACATCCAGAACATATCCTGGAACAATTATTAAAACTGTGACTTTGAAAAGAGCAAGGAAATGCCTTGGGCCTAAGACATGTGGTATCATAAGCAGAGAACAGCAGCACCATAGAGTAAGTAGGCACTCAATAAATAGTTGATGAACCAATGAATTAAGAAGAGGTAGTGAATGCTGGTAGGAGAGCAGAAAATCCTCTTCCAGCAGGGATCCATCAACCTTAAGAACCTTAAGATCCTTGTCTGAAAGAGCATGTGTTTTTGTAGGCCATTAAGGAATGGCCCTGCTGATAATTATCAATTATCTATAATTATGTAGATAGCAAATACAACTGTCTGTCTGTAGTTATTAAACATTTCCTTTTGGTAATTTGTTATTAAGGACTTTCCAATAATGGAAGAAGCTGGGAGGTCCAGGGATGGGGACTCAAGACAGAAGAAGTATAATACCTGCCAAGAAACAAGCCAGGCCATAGATGTGTATGATAAAGAATTACATTTTTTAAAAAAACACACAAATGTTATTTGGAAATAATTTATACTCTTCAGAAGCATTTACAGATAACGATTCACTTTGCCAATGGAAATTAAAAGCTTTCTTCCTTGCAGGACTGGCTTTTAACTCATGTTTGTCCCTCAAATCCCAGCAAAGAGTAGCTGCTTAACAAATGATGTGGATATAAATTAAGGACAATCAAGAGCATTATTCAGTACAGTCAAGGAAGATTCTACAAAGTCTTGCGGTTTACCTTGTCTAGCTTGCTAGATTACCTTATATCACAGGGAAAGAGGAGTTTTCTCATCCTAAGAACTTCCTGAAAGAGCAATTCTCAGTTTGACATCCAGGTACCCTCTAAGACTTAAAGAGATGAACACAGGGATTGTGAGTGCTCCCTTGGTGAGTGTCAAAGAAAGCTCTTTCTCATTTCTTTGTACCCCTAGAATAATTTCTTTAGAGAGAAAAGAATCTAAGATCCATATGTTCAATGTGATCCATTTATCTTACCTGGAGCTGAGGTTTCTTTTTTTTTTTTTTTTTTCAAAAATTAACAGCCACAATAGTTTATTTACAATTGAACTCTTTATAAGATATTTACAAGACAACCAATTTTACACATCAGAAATGGTATCAAAAGTATGAATTACAACACAGACAACAATATGAAATGAGCACAAAACAAAGCTGAAGTAGACAGACAAGCAATTTCTCTTTTTAATTTATTAACACTAGCTTAAACTTTGTTAAAGAAAAACAAAGAACTATGTTTTAGGAGAATTGCAGGGCTTTCAATTGAAGATTGAATTTCACAGTGTTGTATCCCATGTAGGGAAAAATAAGACTAATTTTCCCCTCACGCTCAAACACACTGTAATTTCCCTCTTGGAACTTTGCTAATCTACTCTCCAAGCTCCTTCTCAACAAACCTCAAGACATCCAAACCAAAGGAGAATTGATCTAGAAGAAGGGACAATAAAATAAGAGGTCCTCAGGGAGAGGGAGAACCAAGAAAATAGAATCCACTAAAGTCTGGCCAGATAGCATGAGGTTTCTTTTTGTTGAGTGTTGTTTTCCTGGAAGCTGAGGATGAAGTCTTGGGAGGAACTGTGGCTGCTTTAAGAAGAGCAGATATTTTGTTGTTACAGATTTGATTTTAAACTTATTCACATGATCATCCATCAAATGGAATACTAAGCACTTGTTAAAATGAAGTTGTAGGAAAATACTTAATGAAAAAAGGAAATACTTGTTTTCATTTTTCCTGATTTTTATGGCATATTGCAAATTATTTCATGTAATTAATAAAAATAAATATAATGTAGCAGATATGGGTCCAGGATTGGTAGACTGCAACTTAGAATAAATTCTAATGTTTGTGCAGCATCATTTCACAGAAATCTTCTTACTTTCTAAACTTCTCCCAGTTACATCAATAGTTCCTCTTGGTGGAAGACCAGTGTGGAAATTTTTCAGGGTGAGAGAACCTGTCTTCATTATGCAAGAATATATAGATATTTTCTCATACTTCATCTGAGCAATTACCAGACAATGGCCGTGAAAAAAAGACTGAATAATTAAGTACCAAAGAAATTTGTAAATGCATCATCTTATATATTCAATGTAAACATTATTTAACTTAAAATTTCAAAAAGGAGTTGAAATTACTATTGATTAGTCATACTATTGAATCAACTAAATGGGTAATCTGTAGTCAGGTTCAGCCAGCTCCCACCTCTAGAGCTGATCACAATTAGGAAGATCATTATAGAAGATATATATATAATCTTTAGTTGTAGCTACCTGCCAGAATTTTAACTGAAAAAGTTAATGCTTCTATTGTGTACTTACAGATGTGATGAATACAAGGCAATTACAGTTTAAATTATCAGATTTAACAGGTGTTCCAGCACTGAAAGAAAAAGGGGAGGGAATTCAGGGTGCATTGAAAAAAGGTATTTATTGATGGAAAACACTCATTGAGACAATTATTGACAAGGTCAAGATAAAGTGCAGAGATAGTCTCTCTCTCTCTGCATTGAGTTTTATGTATTTATCTACTCACAAATAATTCTGGAGCATCTTCTATGTGCCAAGATCTGGGGCAGGGAGAGAGGTAGCCCATAGTGCCTAGACTTAAAAAGCAAAAATATATTCTATATGTGTTCTAGTTGGAGACATTAAGGAAACACACTATTTAAAAAGTAGGGGAAGGCCAGGCATGGTGGCTCATGCCTGTAATTCTAACATTTTAGGAGGCCAAGGTGGGAGGATTGCTTGAGTCCAGGAGTTCAAGACCAGCATGAGCAAGAGTGAAATCCTGTCTCTAAAACAAAAAATTGAAAAATTACCCAGGCGTGACGGTGCACGCCTGTAGTCCCAGTTACCTGGGAGGCATAGACAGGAAGATCGTTTGACCCAGGAGTTTAAGGTTGCAGTGAGCTATAATTATGCTGCTGCACTCTAGCTTGTGGGACAGAGTAAGATCCTATTTCAAAAATAATAATAAAAATAAATAAATAAATAAAAACAAATGTTCATAGAACCTTTTTTAAAAAATGTAGGGGGAGACAACTACAAGATATCATTGAAGCAATTGCGCAGTGAGGTAGGCAGAGTCATTTGAGATAAGATTATTAAATAGCTGAAGTTTGGCTTATGTGTTCTGCTTCTGTTTTATCTATGTATTTCCTCTCTTTGGGTGTCTCTGGGGCTTCCTGGCCCCTTCCTAAAGTCTCTCCCTTGATATTCACCATCCAGAGCTTCAGAGCTAATCCAAGGCCAAATAACTAATTTGATAAACTAATCTCTACTAAATTGTCATGGGAAATAATTTAGAGCTAGTCTCTTAAATAAAAGAGATGAACTTTAGCTTCGGCCTTGCAGAGATACCTGGAATAACAATCACAACACCTCACATCCTGATCGTGCTATTAATTTATGTAAAAATATCAGTGCGTGAGGTTCTGTGTGTTAAGCATTAATGGGCTGTGAAGATGAATAAGATGTTAACCCTGTCTATCAGGGGCCTTATCAAATAGTAAGGGGTACAGAAGCAACTTTGATCAAAGCAGTGAGCTCCAGGGGCAGATGGGAACAGTGCCAAGAGAGGGCTGAGGGCTCACCCCCGCCAGCTGTCACTGTCACCCTTGAGGTTCTGAGGCACAGCACGCCTGATGTTAACAGGTCCTCACAGCTAAACGTGCTACTGAGCTCCCTTAAGGAAACCAAGCCCAGATCTAGTGGAGGAGGGTGGCCCTGGCCCGAACAGAGGAGCAGGGCAATTAGTGAGGTCCCCAAGGGAAAGATAAATCTCTAGAAAGAGAAGGCAGGGCTCTGAGGTGCAGCCATCCCAGCCACATGAAGAATCTCTCTTCTTTCATTACCTTGAAGGGTCTAGGTTCAATGTTTCCAAAGAGTTGGAAGATTTCCTTAAACTCATGCCTGGCTTTCAAAGGAAGGAAGGAAGCTGATGAAAGGTTACTATTCCACCCTACCAGGTCCAGAGACTTTCAAATGAGTTTAATCTTTGTGGTTTATGTCAGTAATGATGAAAACTGATAATTCCAGGTTAGCATGGAGGAAACAGAGTGCCTTGGCAGGGCACCAAGGAGACAACTGTGGGCATCATCTTTAATCACTTTTCAAGCCACACTCAGCTTTGGAGGCTTATACCAAGAAGATAGGTGACAAATCTTATCCACAAGAGCCAAATTCGTTCTTAAGTCTCCTGGCGCCTTCTGATTTCTGAGACATTAGATCAGGGTTTTCACATTTCTAGGTTATAACAATATTCCTTGTCTCTAATAAATCTGACAGCAATGCATCCTCTCTCAGCAGACACTAGAATAATCCTTAAACACAACCATATGTCATTTACAACATATAAATGGTAGTTTTCTCCTAATGTTTTTTTGAGGCTGAGCCTGAAGTATTGAGAGCTTCCATCTACCTCCTTTCTCCTAAGTTAATTTCTTCATCCTTCTGTACTACGCTCTTCTCCACTCCAACCCAGAACCACAGCACAGGGTCCTCTGCTGAAGCCTGCCGTCACACTGTCTGTGCTACTGAATTCTCTGGACTCTCCATCCATCATTGTCACTCAAAAGTTGGCTTCACACTCGTTATTCTAGGAAACTTCTAATTGCCCACCCTGACTTAACTTTCCACATCCAGAGTCAACCTTCTCTAACTTGTATTAACATTGGTTTGCCTGTTTACTTGCTTGTTTTGATTTATTTACTCTAAATGTGTTGTTTTGCTGTCTCCCATGTTACATTCTAACTTCCTGAGGAGCTTTCAGCCTCCCTGAAATCAGAAATAATATCCTTCAGTTGCGTTGCTTTTGTTTTTGTACTCTCTTTATCCCATCTACCCAATCTCTAAGACAGTACATTTTGAGCTATGAATTTCCATCAATTAGCAGATCACAAAATCAGCTTAGTAAATCTCCCACCAACACCTTTAAATGAAATAGAACTGAACCTAAGAGAACTGAAAATACCAGAGTGCCTCACCCATGGTAAGGGCAAGTTCTGAAACTCTGTCAAAGGGGTGTGTGTCAGGGTATGATATGAAATATATTTCTTACTATGAGTTGTGGTGAAAAAAGCTTGAGGAAACATGGCCCGGGACTTACTGAACATCTGCCTGAAGCAATAAAATTACCTTTTGCAAATTTATCTGGATCCCCTAGCATTTGCTCCCAGATTCTTGGCTCATTTCCCTTAGGCTTTTGATGTCAGCCACTTGGCTCCAAGCATCACTGAGTGACCTCCCAGATTGGACCCTGCCTGTCCCTTGGATCGCAGGCTGGCCTTGCATGCAGCTGTCCACATTGAGCCTATACCTGGTCTCAAACTCTTCTGCCCCATGTTGTACCAGGTGCAACCTTGCCCCAAGAAAAAGCCCAGAGATGATGATGGCAAAAGTCCTGATACACATAAATGCTTATACCTGGCTCTTTCTGGGAGCAGAGTCCAATATCCTCTTTCCATGTTAATGTATTCAATTCCAGATAACTGATTTTATTATGTAATGGGGAAAAAAGACTCAGAAAATTAACATTTCTTAGAGCTTCCCGAGAGTAAAACTTTAATTCATGGCGGTGTCCTTAAACCCATGATGGTCAATTAGTAACCTGGTAGATTTTGAGAAAAGAGCAGCAAAAATTTAGCCTTTTTTAAGAAATAAGTCCAGTGAGAAAATAATATAATTACCAGTTATTATCTGAGATAATACAATTTCTTAAACTTTCCTAACATAAATGCTTTGCTTTAAAAATGGCCTAGAAGGGAATTTCCTCTACAATTATTTGGGTTAAAATGTAAAAATTAGGTAGTCATTTGGGGCAATGTGTAGCTCTTCTTGTTGTGGTGGTAATAATCTCCATTTCTACATATTTTTACAGTCATAGCATTCTACCCATAGTTTTCCCTGGAGCCATAAATGACCAGGCTGGTGCCATCAAATGCTCTCACAACATGTCCTTATCTTATTTGCTGCCATTTAGCCAATGCACAGAAAACAACATATAAATGAGGTTTCTTTTACAGAGGCAGATGTAACTTGATGAAAAACCTGCCAGTGATTCATTTTACTAGATATTACGTATTAAGTGCATACAAGCTGGAACGGAAGTTCCCTGAAAAAAATGGAAGGATATCCTCTCTCCCCAGCATAATTATATAAATGGCCTCACAATCTTGGCATAGAAGCCCTTAGAACTTGAAAAAGGCTTAGAGAAGAACTACTAACATGTCTATGGAGTTAGAAAGAAAGCCCTCGGAAGAAAAATACTAGCACAATCAAGAATATGCTGTTGCCTAATTTCTAGGACAAACAATGATAAGAAGTGAGTGATTTGGTAAGAAGATGGGTAGGTCGGGGCTGAATTATTAACACCAAAACTCAGGTGATGGTTTGAAGCTGGTCTCTGAATGCCTCCTGGGGTTGAACTGGTCCATAAACCACAGCTTTGCCCTGACTGTGGTCTGCATTCCAGGAGGGCAGGCACTGCCTAGCATGTGGGACATGGCTAGTACCCAATAAATACGTATAGCACTTGGTTTCATCTTACATACTTATATTTATTTTCCTTTCATTACCATTTTCTCATTTATTTTATATTTTTTCTTCTATAGATTTCCTTGATGGAACAAGGAGTGTTATAAATAAATACCGAATACAGGTAAATCAAATGTTGAAGAGTAAAAAGAAGAATGTAAAAGGTGAGGGCCAGAAGGGATTTACGAACAAAGGAGTATGGGGTTTGAAGGGTTGGGAAATCACATATAGCTGGAGGGGCCAGAAGAGGTTTCACAGAAGAGGTGACTTTTGACATGGTTACAATCAGTCAGTAGGAGTGTGACTGGCACAGAGCATTCTGAAAGGTGAAGAGAGCCAAGTCTTCTATTAATAATTCATTAAAAAATTGTGCTCAGATACATATTGATTGATTCTAAAAGAGAACCTTAAAGTACAAAATCTAACAATATGACCTGTAGTATCGGCATAAGGAACAGTGAACCAGGTCTATCTTTTCGGCCACGAAGAGAATAAGGGGAGATTCCTATTGAGAGAGGAAAACAAATTGATCAGAATTTGGAAGGATACTCAAGGCTCTGGTTTTAATTCTTTTAAAGAGGCTATAATTTCTATTGTTCATTCTACGATCAAAGTCAAAATACATCACTTTCCAATCTATCAATCCCTACTCTTGGCCCAACAGAACACATGAATCATTTCCTGATGTCTCACACCCACCACCACCTGCCTGCTCTAGCCTCACCTGATAGTAATGACCACTCTAGCCTCTCCTGATAGTAATGACCACTCTAGCCTCTCCTGAGAGTAATGACCACTCTAGCCTCTCCTGAGAGTAATGACCACTCTAGCCTCTCCTGAGAGTAATGACCACCACCAGGGCATCCCCAAGGCTGCAGGGGACTAAGGCTGTTTTGTGGAAAGGGTCTCCCGAGCTTGATAGCATGATTCTGGTCTTCCAAGATTCTC